TCTGGGTCTTCCTTTCCTGTGGCGGTCCTCATGAGAGCCCGTTTTTGCAACTGCACTTGAAGAAACGTTCAGAGTTCTTGACATTTTTCAGATTGACTGACCTTCATGTCTTAAAGTAATGATGGACTGTCGTTTCTCTTTGCTCAATTGAGCTGTTCTTGCCATAATATGGACTTGGTCTTTCACCAAATAGGGCTATCTTCTGTATACCACCCCTACCTTGTCACAACACAACTGATTGGCTCAAATGCATTAAGTAGGAAAGAAATTCCACAAATTAACTTTTTAACAAGGCACACCTGTTAATTGAAATGCATTCCAGGTGACTACCTCATGAAGCAGGTTGAGAGAATGCCAAGAGTGTGCAAAGTTGTCATCAAGGCAAAGGGTGGCTACTTTGAATAGTTTTGATGTCTTCACTATTATTCTACAATGTAGAAAATAGTAAAAAAAATAAAGGAAAAACCCTGGAATGAGTAGGTGTGTCAACTTTTGACTGGTACTGTATATAATTACACTGTTAAATATTTTGAAATATGAGATGGTTCCAGATATTGTAGGTACATTGTGTTATAGGCGAACGAGATGTGTGAATTATTTAGCAGTTATATTTGACAGGGAATATTTAGTTGTACTCCTAAGGGGCATCGGCTCCTACACTACAATGATCAGACTTCCACTAAGCGCTAGCTTCAGTCTTGTGACTTTTAGGTCTCTTCCTTTACTCATTGCTGATATCTGTAACTGTTTACTCAGATTCTAGCTCTAAGCCCTCTACTTAACAGCTAGCTAGCCTTTTATATTACTGATGCTTTAAATCTTGGTGCCCTTTCCAAGGTACAGTATTTCAGCAATATCCCATCCCTTTGAAACGTGCACAGAAAAGGATATTTGAACTTCAACTTTGAGCTGCCAAGGTTTAGACATTTTAAAGCTCCAACGAACGTGTGACTTTCATGTCGTTGAAGGGTGGGCCACAGTGGTATTTCCTGAGGGAGGATATGTATTGTGTATGGGAGAACGATTAGGGTATACTGTAAGGCTTTCCTCTGATGTCCCTTCCCACATTCTAATTACAAGTTGTTTACCCTACTAATGTTGTTGGGTTTGTTGATAAGCACTTTGGTCTAGTAGTTCATACAGTCACTGATGATATGAAAGTTGGTCCAACAGTTGTTGAAGAGACTTTGAAGTAAGTGGGGTGCTCAGCGCTTGGCAGTACAGTTTCATTTTAGTCATTTAGCAGACGCTCTTATCCAGAGCGACTTACAGTTAGTGAGTGCATACATTTTTCATACTGGCCCCCCGTGGGAAACGAACCCACAACCCTGGCGTTGCAAGCGCCATGCTCTACCAACTGAGCTACAGGGGACCTGTACAGCACTATCAACAAGGCATGTCAATCTCTCCTGGCTGAAAGTGGAGGAGAGATTGACTTCATCACTACTTGTATTTGTGAGAGGTATTGACATGTTGAATGTACCACCAGAGGTCTCTTCACAGTCCCCAAGTCCAGAACAGACTATAGGAGGTGCACAGTACTACATAGAGCCATGACTACATGGAACTCTATTCCACATCCGATAACTCATGCAAGCAGTAAAATTAGATTATAAAAAACAGATACAAATACACCTTATGGAACAGCAGGGACTGTGAAGCGACACAAACATAGGCACAGACACATGCATACAAGCACACGATAACATACGCACTATACACACGTACACATGGATTTTGTGTTGTAGATATGTGGTAGTGGAGTAGGGGACTGAGGGCACACACGTCATGTGTTGTGAATGTATTGTAATGGTTTTAAATTTGTATAACTTCCTTAATGTTGCCCAACTCCAGGAAGAGTAGCTGCTGCCAATGGCGATCCATAATAAATACAAATACAGAAAAATATATCAGAAGGGCTAAATATTCACTCATTGGATGGTTCTTTCAATCAGCAGGTTCCCCCCTATAAATATCTGGGTGTTTGGATTGAAGATCTAACGTTTAAAAAACATGCCGATGAGCTAGTTAAAAAGCTAAGATTTAAACTCACTAAAGTCCTGTAGATCACTTCATTACTCCGTTCTTCTTTACAAAGCTCTCCTCCACAAGCTTCCAACATACCTCACTTCCCTGTTAAACTATAAAAACAGTTGAAGTCGAAGTCTACATACACTTAGGTTGGAGTCATTAAAACCTGTTTTTCAACCACTCCACAAATTTCTTGTTAACTATAGTTTTGGCAAGTCAGTTAGGACATCTACTTTGTGCATGACACAAGTAATTTTTACAACAATTGTTTACAGACAGATTATTTCACTTATAATTCACTGCATCACAATTCCAGTGGGTCAGAAGTTTATTTACACTAAGTTGACTGCCTTTTAAACAGCTTGGAAAATTCCAGAAAATGATGTCATGGCACAGTTCTATGGGCTACTGTATCTTGCGACAGACAGTATATCTTTCTGCCTATATCCTGGTCATTAACTTCCAGCAGTTGTTCCATGTTTGGTATTTCCATCGACCGTCAATATATCCACCACGGTATGTTCACTTTGTTGATCTATCATACAGTATATCTAGTCTTGTCCTACATAGCCCTGTGGTTCTAGCCTCATCTGTTTTCTTAGATGGTGCTGGGCATGAATTAATTATGTTTACTGTCCTTCAAGATGGTTTGATGGTTGTTTTACGTTACTTCCACAACAGCATGCCGTTGCATTGTTCATTAAACTAGACTTGTCACATTCTTGAGTATCCTTGTGCGTCTTCTACATAAGACCTCATTGAAATGTCATCTTAAGCGAGTATGATGGTATCACTACCCAACATTCTTGGATGCTCCCCATCAATAACTTACTCTTGCAACAGCCACTTGTGATCAATGTTTTCCCCTTTCTTACTCATTCAATATCACTACTCATCCTCTCTTACTCCTTCTCCCCATTTCCCTATGGTTTTCTCCCTATTACCTCACTCTCTCCTCCCCCTCCCTGTGTTTGTTGATCAGTGCTCCCCCAGCCCCCTAGAGAGAGGCTCTTGTTTTTCATTAAAACACCGTGCCCTTTTGTGTGCTGGTCCACATCAATCACGAGCCACTGCTCCTCTACTCACCACTCTGCCAAAAATGGGGTCACTTCAATTGAGGACTCACCCAAAGGGCCATGAGCTCCCAGAGGACCCAGCCCAAATGAACTAACTCAAGGGGGTCCCAGCAATGGAGAGAGGGGGAACCTAATTTGCACATGTGCATAACACTAGGATAGGCCATTTGTTCAGCTCAGAGCTGACACACCGACAAAAGACTGAAACAATGTACAGATATGGCAACACAGGCATGCTTCGAAATCTAGGTGGCCTGTCCTTATTGAAACTTTCTATGAACCTTCATTGCTGCACATTGACAAAGTAAAAACATGGCACAGTAGATGTTTTCACTACGGACCTGGCTCTGCTTAGTTTAGCAGCACTGAAGTCTGTAAGTGTTTTGGAGGTGCCACTACACCAGATGAGTCTTTTAAAATTGACCTATTTCTGTTCTCCTGTACTTTCCACCTGTAGCTGTGGTTAAATTAATTAGATTTTAGATTTACATTTTAGTCATTTAGCAGATGCTCTTATCCAGAGCGACTTACATGTCAGCAGAAGAAGACTAAGGAACTGATGCACAGAGCATTTAGACTAGTTCATAACCCATGGGGTCCAGTGGGGTATTTTTGCCATGGAAAGGAGGTCGGTCAGCCATGAATCTTCAGGTTCAGCACCTTAGAGAATGCTCTGAGACAGTTTCTCATTATTGGAAAGACTAATGGGTTTCACAATGTTTGATGGCAGTCTATCAATGGCGAAGGAAGCTGTGAATATATGCCTGTGTGTGTCGGTTGGAGTTTGCCTAGGTTTGTTTGACCAAGGCCTGGAAAGTATGAAAATGAAGTGTGTTCTTGTGTAAATTATGTTGGGACAGCTGCCAGCCCAGTGCCTCAGCTAATTTGTCTAGCTCGCTGAAGCCAAGTACTCAACTGTATGCAAACTCTCCCATCCTGTTGCATTAAGTGGATTTGCACTACATTTGTTTTGGGTTTCACCCCCCCACAAGTTTTTGGTGAATGACATCCACTCACCATTTCCATTTAATTGTAACTTGAATTATCTTTTTTTTTCTTTCTGTTCTCTGGGGACTGGTGTTAACTGCAGATTGCTGACAAACTGTCTCAATGACTTCTGTGTTTTCAATGGAATGAAGAGGGTGGTTGTGTAATTTGTTACGTCTTGTTTTGCATTGAAGATGGTGCAGTCGTGTTTTCCCTCTTGGTCCCCTCAGTGGATTCAGCCTCCTGTTCCAAATCTCATTCTGTTCTGCTCTAATTGTTTCAACCTCCCATTCCCCCAGGAGACCAGGATGTTTTAATCGCAGTACTTATAGGAATATGGGAATGCCCACTGGTTTTAAAATTGTATTTGTCACATGCGCCAAATACAATGGGTGTAGACTACTGTGAAATGCTTACTTATGAGCCCATCCAAACGATGCAGTTTAAAAAATAATGGTTACACAAGGAATAAAATACACAAGAATGAAGCTATATACAGGGAGTACCAGTACCATAACACTGTGCAGGGGTACGAGGTATTAGAGGTAGATATGTACATAAAGCAGGATGTTGTAATCAGTACTTATAGGAATATGGGAATGCCCACTGGTCATGAGCTCAAGAGCATCAAACTCTTGAGTGCTTCTGGGAATAAAGGCTAGAAATAATGACGGCCGTGTGTGTGTGATTCCTCAACCCTTGCAGGGATTATGAGCCTAGGAGCTTCCTCCATAATTCATATGGGCTTATGTTAGGGTTTCTATTTCCTGACATATGCAGGGTGGTTTTATGTGTTCTAACTTCTGTCCAGTGGATTTCCTCTCTTTACTCAACTCCGTTGTCTTCGTCCAACAATGGTGAACTGTGAATCTTGACATAATCATTTTCTATCTGTTCCATTTTCAGGATGACACTGGTGCCTATCTCATAGACAGAGACCCCACATACTTTGGGCCGGTACTGAACTACCTGAGGCATGGCAAGCTGGTGCTCAACAGGGAGCTGGCAGAGGAAGGTAAGACTGGACATGTGAGGCGAATGTTGCTACTAATGTGCACAGTGAAGCTGTTGGTTTCCAATGTCAGCTCTTAAGTATCCTCTGTAGCAGTCTGCTTGATATGTTGATAATTCCTGCCAGGATGGATTCTAAATGTGTGTTTTTGAAGGTGTCCTGGAGGAAGCCGAATTCTACAATATCACATCGTTAATAAAGCTCCTCAAGGACAAGATCAGGGAACGAGACTGCAAAACAAAACAGGTAGGTGAACTTCCCGAAAGACACATTGCGCCCTATAGATTTTGTATTTCTTCTAAACTCTTATTTGATATCCCTTTGTAGGGATACGCATATTTTGACCAATGGGTAAAATATGTTAATTGTGTAGATAATTATTTGAGAAAACCAATGGTCCAAACCTCATGTCTATCATAATCCGTTCAAAGGTTATTGGAGTGTGTACCCTTGTAGGATGGCCAGAATTAGGGTGACGAAATCAATGGAGGCCAGAGAAAAAAGTGGTCAAAAATGTGCAATTGCATCAGTTAGGCTGAATTCTGTGAAGAATGAAGGCTACTGGTCCCTGACAGGCTCACTTTCCCATTGAACTCGTCATCTTTCTTCTCATAAAACAAAAGAGGTAAGATGGATGTCGGTTTTGAGACTTAGTATTTAAATATTTTAGTGTACGCTTTTTATATTAATTCGCAATTCCTGTTCTTTTTCGAAGATTGCTCACAAAAACAAGTGTATCTCTGTGAAATGTCAACGGAGCACTGAGCGTATACCAAGCATTTTATTTTCAAAGCCTTTTACGTTTAATTCAGCTGGTGTCATGCTAATTTTGCGACCTGCGGAAACAACTTTGAGGACGACGACCACAAAATGTAAAATCCTCAAAAGTTGTTACAAGAAACCTGCACTGCTATGTCAACAGAGATCAGTGCTTATTATTGGATGTATTAGGTTACGAAATCCGACTTTTTGGATACAATGTTAATGATATGTTAAGAGAAAGGCCCCACTGAATGATTCAGAACATGAATAATCATATTTGTCATAGTAAAATGTATTTTATAGCATAAGGAAGTGAAATTTCATCACCAAAGCATGTTTTGACCCACTCTTTGCAGAGTGGCTGTGAGTCCACTGTTAGTCAATGCACATGCTCCATCCCATGCTTCAGTTCCCCACAGCAGGCGTGCGTGTGTGTGTGGTGTTTGGAGCCAGAATTCACTCAACTCGAATACCCTCTCTTCTTTTCTTCTCCCTGCTCTCTCCCCAGGCTCCAGTGAAACATGTGTACCGGGTACTGCAGTGCCAGGAGGAGGAGCTCACCCAGATGGTGTCCACCATGTCAGACGGCTGGAAGTTTGAGCAGGTAACGCTGCCTCCCGCCACGAGGAACCAAATGTCCTCCTTTTATTTGTACTTCCCTCAACCCATAATCCTCACATCACCCAAACAATCCAATTCATAAATTGGAAATTAACATTACAAAAAAAACTGTTACATTTTTTTCTGTGTCTTATACGTGATCTGGGCATCCCTCTGTGCTCTGATTTGGTTGTTGCAGCTTATCAGTATAGGTTACGGGCGGGCCCAGCAGTCAGAGTTTCTGCTGATTGTGTCAAGGGAGGTGAAGGGGGAGGAGCCTACTTTCCCAAGCCACAGCGGAGAGGTGTGTCCCACAATGTTCCATCCATGGGCTGGTCACTGCATGTCCCCTATGTACCCATTCACAACCCTTTTGGCCTCTGTGTCCCTGCTCTATGAACAGTAGGCGGCCATTTTGAGTTGATTTCAATTTTAAGATGTGTACTGTTTGTCCAACAAAGGACTCAAATGAACACAGCACCCTTTCTATGTCTGTTGTTTGATTATCCCCTCCCCCTTCACATTTTTGTTTTCAGTTTGTTGGTTATATGCAGGTTGTTCCACTATTTTAGGTAGAAATTGTGCGGCAGTATGGAATTTTAAAAGCCTGTTATATTATATGAAGTGCCCTTTTTAATATAGACCACGTGGAGAATTCATTAAATCAGAATTTTATATGAAAAAAGGCTTGCTAAAGTGCCAAAATTCTGCATTTTGAAATGTCCCTCTGTCAACCCTGTGTCACTTCTAGGAGATTTTAACCCACTTAATCCCCCAAAATAAAGCCCTAGTTATTTTGTTGCTTTGACAGTCATTTCTGAAGATTATTTATTTCATGTGATTAGTGATTCATTTACGTCTGTGCCTCATTTTAAGGTCAACCCTGTTACGTGAACTGAACTCTCATTTTAATATGGTGAAACTATTCCTTAAAAAAATTAATCGAAAGAAACATTGAACATCTAATAGTCAAATCATAGTGTAAAAGCAGGTGAGCTGGTTCTACTCTTGATGGACATTTTCCAGTGTTTTGTGGTGGAAAACTGAGCAGGTCGAGCATAACACGTCAACCCTGTGACCCATAAATAGGCAGGCTAGAAATGTTTTAACAGTTGTTGTTTTTGTGCAGCTTGCGTTCAATTGCCACCCTCTGTTGCACACAACAAGCTTCCATTCCCCCTGTCACAAAGGGATTCATGGCTGATTTTAAGAATAAATTGTCAACCCTGTTTATTCTTTAACCCATGATAGTTGATGAGAGAAGGAACTGATTGAAGCCTGATTAGGCTATTCACCTTATGTAGCCCCACCCACTTGACCCAGTTCCTGATCGAACGCGGTTGTCTTCCACCTTCCGGCCTATTCTGGCCCATTGACACTGCAAACCCGGGGAGAAGATGTCGCTAAATATACATCACACTTGGCCAAATTATTAAACAAACTGCACAGAATCTGAAAGATATGTTTTATATATATGTGTGTGTGTGTGTGTGTGTGTGTGTGTATATATGTATATATGTACAGTGAGGGGGGAAAAAGTATTTGATCCCCTGCTGATTTTGTACGTTTGCCCACTGACAAAGAAATGATCAGTCTATAATTTTAATGGTAGGTTTATTTGAACAGTGAGACAGAATAACAACAAACAAATCCAGAAAAATGCATGTCAAAAATGTTATAAATTGATTTGCATTTTAATGAGGGAAATAAGTATTTGACCCCTCTGCAAAACATGACTTAGCACTTGGTGGCAAAACCCTTGTTGGCAATCAGAGGTCAGACGTTTCTTGTAGTTGGCCACCAGGTTTGCACACATCTCAGGAGGGATTTTGTCCCACTCCTCTTTGCAGATCTTCTCCAAGTCATTAAGGTTTCGAGGCTGACGTTTGGCAACTCAAACCTTCAGCTCCTTCCACAGATTTTCTATGGGATTATGGTCTGGAGACTGGCTAGGCCACTCCAGGACCTTAATGTGCTTCTTCTTGAGCCACTTCTTTGTTGCCTTGGCCGTGTGTTTTGGGTCATTGTCATGCTGGAATACCCATCCACAACCCATTTTCAATGCCCTGGCTGAGGGAAGGAGTTTCTCACCCAAGATTTGACGGTACATGGCCCCGTCCATCGTCCCTTTGATGCGGTGAAGTTGTCCTGTCCCCTTAGCAGAAAAACACCCCCAAAGCATAATGTTTCCACCTCCATGTTTGATGGTGTTCTTGGGGTCATAGGCAGCATTCCTCCTCCAAACACAGCGAGTTGAGTTGATGCCAAAGGGCTCGATTTTGGTCTCATCTGACCACAACACTTTCACCCTGTTCTCCTATGAATTATTCAGATGTTCATTGGCAAACTTCAGACGGCCCTGTATATGTGCTTTCTTGAGCAGGGGGACCTTGCGGGCGCTGCAGGATTTCAGTCCTTCACGGCGTAGTGTGTTACCAATTGTTTTCTTGGTGACTATGGTCCCAGCTGCCTTGAGATCATTGACAAGATCCTCCCGTGTAGTTCTGGGCTGATTCCTCACCGTTCTCATGATCATTGCAACTTCAACAAGGTGAGATCTTGCCGAGGGAGATTGACAGTCTTTTGTGTTTCTTCCATTTGCAAATAATCGCACCAACTGTTGTCACCTTCTCACCAAGCTGTTTGGCGATGGTCTTGTAGCCCATTCCAGCCTTGTGTAGGTCTACAATCTTGTCCCTGACATCCTTGGAGAGCTCTTTGGTCTTGGCCATGGTGGAGAGTTTGGAATCTGATTGATTGATTGATTGCTTCTGTGGACAGGCGTCTTTTATACAGGTAACAAACTGAGATTAGGAGCACTCCCTTTAAGAGTGTGCTTGTAATCTCAGCTCGTTACCTGTATAAAAGACACCTGGGAGCCAGAAATCTTTCTGATTGAGAGGGGGTCAAATACTTATTTCCCTTATTAAAATGCAAATACATTTTTGACATGTGTTTTTCTGGATTTTTTGTTTGTTGTTCTGTCTCTCATTGTTCAAATAAACCTACCATTAAAATTATAGACTGATCATTTCTTTGTCAGTGGGCAAACGTACAAAATCAGCAGGGGATTAAATACTTTTTTCCCTCACTGTGTGTGTGTATATATATATATATATATATATATACTTCAAAAAAAAAAAAAAAATATATATATATATATATATATATATATATATATATATATATATATATATATATATATATATATATATATTATTATTATTATTATTATTATATATATATATATATATTTTTTTTTTTTTTTTTTTTGAAGTTCAGCTAGTACCTCCTGGGCTGCCGTGGGGGTTTCAACCAATCATCCACACTAGGTTGGTTGAGAGGTTCTTGAATCACATTGTATGAATGCTTATTCAAAGTAACCTTAGCAAACAAGTGCTCTGCAAATTGACTGCACTTAAAAAGACACTTTGGGGTTCACGCGAGGACAAGGTTTTTACCATATTCTTTGGTTTAAGTGGGTATCGTGATTGGTGGGAGCCGAGAGACTGGTTGTACATGGTACAGTAGCTGGTAGCTTTAACGTTTAGCTTCGATATAGAGTAGCCTAATACTTTTGCCTCCTGTTTGAGACATCTCTTGGCAACAACAGGGCTCCTGCAGAAGTGGCTAATGAGGCTGTGCATGTCTCGACATGCACACCCACAGAGTACACTGTTCAGTTCTTATACACTACATTACCAAAAGTATATGGACACCTGCTTGTCGAACATCTCATTCCGAAGTCATGGGCATTAATATGGAGTTGGTCCCCCCTTTACTGCTATAAGAGCCTCCCACTCTTCTGGGAAGGCTTTCCACTAGATGTTTGAACATTGGTGCAGGGACTTGCTTCCATTCAGCCACAAGCATTAGTGAGATCGGGCACTGATGTTGGGCGAATTAGGCCTGGCTCGCAGTCGGCATAATTCCTCCCAAAGGTGTTCGATGGGGTTGTGGTCAGGGCTCTGTGCAGACCAGTCAAGTTCTTCCACACCGTTCTTGACAAACCATTTCTGTATGGACCTCACTTTGTGCAAGGGGGCATTGACATGCTGAAACAGGAAAGGGCCTGTTTCAGCATGTTGGAAGCACAGAATCGTCTAGAATGTCATAGCGTTAAGATTTCCCTTCACTGGAACTAAGGGGCCTGGCACAAACCATGAAAACAGCCCCAGACCATTATTCCTCTTCCACCAAACTTTACAGTTGGCACTATGCATTGGGGCAGGTATCATTCTCCTGGCATCCGCCAAACCCAGATTTGTCTGTCGGACTGCCAGATGGTGAAGTGTGATTCATCACTCCAGAGAACGCATTTCCACAGCTCCAGAGTTCAATGGCGGTGAGCTTTACACCACTCCAGCCGATGCTTGGCATTACGCATGGGGATCTTAGGCTTGTGTGTGGCTGCTCGGCCATGGAAACCCATTTCATGAAGCTCCAGACGAACAGTTATTGTGCTGACGTTGCTTCCAGAGGCAGTTTGGAACTCGGTAGTGAGTGTTGCAACCGAGGATAGACAATTTTTACACGCTACGCGCTTCAGCGGTCCCTTTGTGAGCTTGTGTGGCCTACCACTTCGCGGCTGAGCCGTTGTTGCTCCTAAACGTTTCCACTTCACAATAACAGCACTTACAGTTGCCCGGGGCAGACTTGTTGGAAAGGTGGCATCCTATGATGGTGCCACGTTGAAAGTCACTGAGCTCTTCAGTAAGGCCATTCTACTGCCAATGTTTGTCTATGGAGATTGCATGGCTGTGTGCTCGATTTTATACACCTGTCAGCAACGGGTGTGGCAGAAATAGCCGAATCCACTAATTTGAAGGGGTGTCCACATACTTTTGTTTGTGTGTGTGTGTGTATGTATGTATGTATGTATGTATGTATGTATGTATGTATGTATGTATGTATGTATGTATGTATGTATGTATGTATGTATGTATGTATGTATGTATGTATGTATGTATGTATGTATGTATGTATGTATGTATGTATGTATGTATGTATGTATGTATGTATGTATGTACACACACACTGACTGGTTGAACACTAAAGTTAAAAGCATTCGACTGAGTGGAGGAACATTCGTGTTTTTCTGACATTGTCAAATATGTATTTTGTAGGCCGAAGTACTCAACGTTGATTTGCATGACATCATATCACCTCACCGTCTGCATGTTTGTTTAATGTCCTGTTATCTCTTATTTTTTTTTTGGTGTCCTTTAAAAGTTAACCTTTTAAAAAGGAACTAACTTTTAAGGAAGCAAATATGACCCCCCCCCCACACACACACACACACACACACACACACATTTGTTAATGACTTTCTACAGCTGACCCATTCCACAAATATCAGTTTTTAACTCCTCCCATATTTGGAGTCTGTAGCCAACTCACCTTTTGTGTTCTAAAGTTCTGATCTGTCTCTAGCTCTATATGTTCTGCGTATTATCTAATGCTTTTCATTTCTGTTCAAATTCTTCAGTTCTGCTCTCTAAGTACACTGTAATCCTCATTTTATCTCTCTGAAGTTAACTCTCTCTCTCTCTCTCTCTCTCTCAACCCCCCCCCCCCCCTCCCCCAGCTGGTCAGCATTGGCTCCTCTTATAACTACGGAAACGAGGACCAATCTGAGTTCCTGTGTGTAGTCTCCAAGGAGCTGCACAACCAATCATATGGCCCAAACAGTGAGCCCAGTGAGAAAGCCAAGGTGAGCCCCATCCTAAGACTTGGACTGCTGCACAGAGTAATTCATTGATGAATTTGGAATTTTCTGAAAAGTATAAAAAAAATGTGTCAATGACTGGTTAGTGATTTAATTTACTGAGAATTAGCCTTCAATGAATCTATCAAAATCCTTTTCATAGCATTAAAAATTAACTGTCGACCATTTTGTATCTAAATCAAAAGGACAGTACGGTAATTTGATGTACAGTTATTAGTCAAAGACCACACACAGGCCTAAGTCCATTACTTCAGCTTTACAAGATTGAAGTCATGTTAGATTTGACCTTACACCGAAAAACTGAAGCATTTTAATCCACGTTAGGAGGACGTTAAGAGCATAGGCTTGAGGATTAGTGGGACTATTAGTTGAGAATGTCATTCTCTCTAAGGGCTTTGGGAGCAGAGCAGCAGGCCTAGCTGTGGGAATTACTAGTCCCATCTGCTGGTTCCCAGCAGTCCTCAGTCCTCCGGGGCACGCTTCACTCACTAATTTTCATCAGCCACTAGCTAGTCCCAGACTTGGTAATTCTATTGAATTGTTGCTAATAGGCTGACATTAAGAAGTCTTGGATTCAGTCAGTTGTTTTAGATGTCACGTGGATATAGTCTAGTTACTACCAGTTTTAGAGATTTCTTTTTCTATATTTACACCACAGAATTTCAATACATTTACACCACAGAAAGAGAGGCTTTTCGCTTGAGTTCAAAACAGACATGGATACACCTATTACAGTACATCTGTATACTAAATGGACTAAGGTGCAAAGCAATCACAAAGAGACCTTTTGAAAGAGGGGGTCTCGGATCGATTGCAAGTGAATCTTAGTAGATATGAAAGGTAGCCTACCCTCTGACCCGTTAATGTCCCTCTGTTGTGATCGTGTGTTGAATCAGAACTGTGAGTTGAACCCCTTTTGAGAATCAAGTCCCAATCAGGTGTAGTATAGTTGGTGATACATCCCCTGTTTAAGAGTCTTCATTTGACTGATGTTAGTTAGTTGGTTGGAAGGTAAATGTTTTGTAACATTTACACAACCTTGTTGTTTTGCACCCCACTTTACCCCTGACATTTTCTCCCCATTCATTTTCATTCTTGTAAGACTTGCCTGTCTTGTCTTCTTCCTATCCCATTTGCATGCTGCATGTTGCTCAGAGCGAGGACGAAGAGACGGATTATGAAATGAATGACTCTGATTAGGGTTGAGCACTTATGACTCAACGGTGAGAGCTCAGCTGCCCTCCTGTCCTTATCCAGAGCCTATCCAGGCTCTGTCGCAGCCGGCCGCGACCGGGAGACCCATGGGGCGGCGCACAATTGGCCCAGCGTCGTCCAGGGTAGGGGAGGGAATGGCCGGCAGGGATGTAGCTCAGTTGATAGAGCATGGCGTTTGCAACGCCAGGGTTGTGGGTTCGTTTCCCACGGGGGGCCAGTATAAAAAATTAAATAAAAATGTGTTCACTAACTGTAAGTCGCTCTGGATAAGAGCGTCTGCTAAATGACTAAAATGTAAATGTAATGTAAAATGTCCTTTGACTCCCTCCATCTTCCCTTTCCTTTCCACAACTCCACCATGTGTCTTTGCCCTGGTGCTTGCAACCCTGATCAAGGAGATGATTATGTCTGGGCTTTTGGTCAAGTCTTTTACACTGTCTATCTAGAACTAAGGTTGGCTGCACCTGTCAAGCTTTACTTTTAGCAATGAGCAAATCTTTGCTTTGTATTGCTGGCATGGAAACCAAGTGCAACCTATCTTAGAAAACCCCTCACCATATCCTATCCTCCCACGTGTGTGTGTGTGTGTGTGTGTGTGTGTGTGTGTGTGTGTGTGTGTGCGTGCTGTGGGAAGGAAAGAGGTAAAATCATGTCAACTTTTGTCAAGATTCTCGGATTCTCAAGGAAAATTAAATAATAAAGATGCATCTAAAACATTAGTACAATAAAAAGATGTTCAGATGTAGTAGGTCTGTCCCATTCACAGACACCAGACCTAAAGATTGAGCCTGCTGTAGTATAGTTTCACAATTACAGCTAGGTAATAGCAGGGATATTTTTTACCATTTATTTGAACATTAACTGATTAATCCCTTTGCCTTTGCAGATTCTTCAGGAGAGGGGATCCAGGATGTGAATGATCAATATTACAAGCCCCAGGTATAGAGTACCATAGTATGAGTCATAATACCCATAAAACCTAGCAGTCAAACAGGGAAATGGATACAATCGTTTTTCCACCATTCATTTTTCCCATAGGGGATTTTAGAAACACTTAAAATAAGGGCTGTGTTTTGTGTAGGCTTACCCTGACGTGACGTTTTGATAACCGTGTAAATCTCTCTAGGACAAGATTACTTTTATCAATATATTTGTGTGCATAAAATGAAATGCTAATGTGGCTATCATAAAGAACAACAAATATGATGGTGATCTGTATGAGATTGCCGAATCGAGGCAAAGGTAAGAATCTCTGGATTAACTATCTAATGTTAGCTAAATGTAGTAATTAATAAATTAGCAAAATGTCTTGAAATGGACAATTCTGTGAACTGTCTTGTGCAAGTTTTAAATTGACACAATACCTGTTTAGCAAAGGTTTCAGCTAGAGATGATGTGCAGGAGCTTGCAGGGATTTGTAGTCATGCATGATGTCTACTCTGATGCTAATTCGCATTTTCGAATATGAGTGTAAATAGAACCCAATATATTGATAAAAGTCACCTTGTCAGAGAGATTTACATGGTTATCAAAACATCACGCCAGGGTAAGCCTAAACGAAACACGGCCCTTATTTGAAGTGTTTCTAAAATCACCTAAGGGAAAAATTAATGGTGTAAAAACAATTGGAACCATTTCCCTGTTTGACCGCTAGGTTTTATGGGTATTATGACACCTCCAATGTGGGGCTCTATAATGATGCAAACATATCCTTGACGAGGAAGAACCTTTCACACAACGGAGAAGACATTAGTCAAGAGGGACGTACATTTTGTTTCTGTGTTTTTCCTCCATTTTATTTTATGATGTAAATATGTCTGTTTAGAGACTATTTGTGCCTGTACAGTTAAACTGGACCTTTTTTTGAATTAGTGGCAAGTTTCTTCTAACTAAAAGTGATGAATTATAATACATTTTATGCTATAAAACATGGCCATGGTCATACACGGCCAATGATTCACTCAGGGGCTACTTTTGAGTTTCTTTTACCTTCTCACTCCAGGATCTTGTAAGGGATCATGATGATCGATCTCTATTATCAAGCATAAACCGCTAAAACCTGTACTGTCATTAGTAGTAGAAGGTAATTATGCATACTTACTCATTGAGAAATTGGTCGCAAAAGAGACAGGGGTTCTTAATTTTGTTTTCAAACTAGTTTAATGCTTCCTTTTCTGGTGTGTCCTCTGTATTTTAGAGGGGACTTTCTGTTTTAATAAAGCATTTATTTGGAGGTTAAGATATTTTTTAGAAGGTCGGGGTTTGCTAATGTTTTGAAGGTAACGGTGAAGGAATATATTTGTATATCCTTAGGTTTGTTGATGTGCATAATCTAAAGTCCAATATTAATATTTAACTGTTAAACTGCACGTTTTGTACACTGTATAGTTAAACACAACTTCAAATGTAAGTTGTTGTACTGGATCTTACAGAGCTAGAAAGTATTGACAATTTAATTGTTAACTTGAGTTTTGCGATGTTTGTACAGAGGTCTCTGCATATTAAGATTTGTAAATCAAGATTCAAATGATGGATGCTCAATATCTGTTTTACTTAGACACCTGAAATCTTTTGATATCCAATAAGAAGAGCAATATACCTTGGCTCAGACATTGACTGTTATGTTGTAAAAAATATGTATTGGTCTTGAAAGGCTACACATTCTTTGAGACATTTTGTATTGTGTAGACTACAGCATTCCAAGCTCTACAGTTGGAGGGTGTGTACATTGCTTTCCTTACACTGCAACACTGTTTTAAGGGTAAATGCTGCATTTCAGGATACTTTTTATACCGAGAATTGTTTCTGGCCTGAGATGCGGTACTGCTCAACTTTTGATAGTGTTGCCTTTTCCCAGTGATGACCAAATCCAATGTCTTATGTGCCGCTTACACATGAACTTTTAGTGTCAGGGATAAGTAAACATTTCTGGTTGCGGGCACACACTCTATATGTGCAGCAGGATACATATGACACACAACTCCTTTTACACACACACCCACACACTCTTTCCATGTAACAAACACAGTTTTATATCATTAAAGGTGATTGGATGGATGCATGTTTTTTGATACACACACGCACTCACAAGGGCTTTTAAACTGGAAACTATTAAATCTGCAAAGAGGTTCAATTAAATAAGTGTGTTTTGCCAGAGCTAGGCTATGTTTACATTTGCTATAGTATTCTGAAGCCTTCCAGCGATCTTGCACTCCCCACATACCTAAACATAGACTGACTTGTTTGACAGGAGAAAAGGGAACAAGCACGCCCCACTCTAGATGAATTTTAAATGCATGTAAATAGTTAACTATTAACATATCCTATACATTTCAAGTGCTGGTAATCTCTCGTGGACAGACTACATAAACATAAATGGTACTGACCAATTTAAGCAAGAATTTAGTTCTGGGTTAACCGAGATTAAAGTGCTGGAGACAATCTTATGATTCTGTGAAAATGTTGACTAGCTCAGTCAGCTCAATGAGGAGACTAGTGTTTGTCTCATGAGTATTGTTGTTGTGAGATTCTTAGTGTTTTTTGTGTAGTTAGCTTGGTTCCATCTTAATCTTAGCAGTCTGTGTACTTTGGTCTTGACCTGTATAACAGCATCACAGTGGCTGGCTGCACTACCCCCTCAGCATCACCATTTTACACACTGCTAGACTACATGCCATGGTCATTTAACTTTAAAGAAAAAACATTTATATTTTGTGCACCAAAGTATCCAGTCTGTACTGTAAGGTGTGCAAGTTTCCAGTATATTGTGATGAGTCCGCTGGTTAGTTCATCACAGACCACTGTAATGCATGATTGAA